GCAGTTTTTCTGCAAAGAATCTGCAGAGAAACTGCAAAGAAACTGTAAAGATTTTATTGCAGATCTGCATCAGATCTTTGGCCAAATCTTGGCACATCTGCATTGCAGAAAAACTGCAGATTGCAGATCTGCAAAGATTTTTGCAGACCGAGTTTTTTTGGGTGCGTCGCATTATGATGATTAAACTTCATGACAATATACGATCGAAAAAGATTTCCTGTTTCGGGTTATCACAATTCGAATGAACTACCACTTGGACAAAAAATCAGAGAAACATTCTAGGCTATTACAAAAGCCTTCGGGTCGAGTCGAATTTGGGCCCACATAGAAAATATTGATTCGGATCGTGCTCGGGTAAGAAAGTCTTCGTGGCATCCACCTAAGACCCGATTCGGTCTCTGATACCTGAGAAGGAACGCATATTTCTGAAAGTCGTAACATCTGGAATTTCTGAAAATAAAAATATTTTTAAAAATATTTTTAACCCAGAATCGCTAAAAGAATAGCGGCTGGGTCCAGAAACATAGTACGAGAAGAATAATTCGCCACCGCTAGCCCCTTTACGATTCCATTGCAAAAGTTGATTTAGGCTCGACTGTTCATTTGGTATAAAACATTGTCAATAATCTTTAGATGTCTAGAGAGCAGCAAATTCCTCTTAGCGAAGCACCACCACTATATGTTGAAAAAATAGATGGCCCCGTCTCTGCCCTTGAAGTACCACAAAATTCATCATTTCAATCACCATTACCACCACCATCCCAAAAATTTCGTGATATTCCCGTACAAGCTTATTGCCCAAGTTGTGGTCAAACTGGATTAACACAACTTGACTATGTTAATGGCTTATTGGTTTGGTCAGCTGTTCTATTACTTATTTTATTTGGTTTTATTTTTGGTTGTTGTCTTATACCATTTTGTGTAAAACCAATGAAAGATAGAAAACATCTATGTAAAAATTGTGGAACAACTATTGGTTATTATAGAAAACTAGAAAGTGTTTTTGGTTACTAGTAGAGACAAGTTTGTTAACTTTTTTAATTTTAATCATTTCTCCTTGTAAAAAATTCAACAACAAAAAAATAAGCGGTTGTATCTTACACTTAGTGGCGATGGTAAAATAGCGTGATTCGTCCTTTCTTCTGGTTGATCAACCTTTTGCGCTCCTCATCTGTAACCACACCGAACAATAATGTTTCGGATCGGCTGTACTTCAATAAAATATCCTTGACTCGTTTAAAAGTCAAATTTATGTCGGTCGAAGAAACTTTTGGAAAACGTTTCCGCTCGGGGAAATTTTTCGACTTATGGGCAGGTTCTTCACCTCTGTCACTATCACTCAAATCTTAAAAAGTTCAACTTGATTATCACAGAAAAAAGTAAGCTTTTTACTTATTTGGCATAAGATCAATACATCTAAAAAGTATATTTTTAAATATTCATTGCTAATGTTTTATGTGTTAATTCCACGATTTGTTGTAAATCTTCGCGTTGTTAAAAATTATCATCAACTTCACAGCTTGTCTAAACACAACAAAAGTCCGTCATTTTTCATCCTTTCAAGCTAAATTTTTTTTAAAAGATTCGTCTTTTATTTCTCTACGAATCATGTATTTGCATTTCCGGTGTATGTTTAGATAATGAAATGAAAAGATCTTCCGGAAAGTGTACTTTCTAAATGTAAAAATGGTGATGGTCCAACCAAAATATTTCGTGATTTAAAAGGTTGCATTTGTCGTCCCGTTCGGGGAAATTTTTCGAACCTATGGGCAGGTTCTTCACCTCGGTCACTATCAGTCAAATCTTAAAATGTTCAACTGGATTATCACAGATAAGATTTTAATTGTTTTTGAAAAAGCTCACAATAACTCATAATAATTCATGGTGTTTTCTGTGTCGAGTCAGGATCACGGATGAGTCGTATAGTTCTAGCGCGACTCATAACGGAAGATTCCTACGCGTCTGAGTCCTGCTTTCGTATTGTAAAAGGCAGAAAAATTGTACCAGAAGTTCTGATACAATTTTTCTTCCCATTACAGTTGAATGATTTCTGATTCAGAACTCATTCAAGTTTTTATTTTTACCAGAACCTATGCTAGAGACAAGAGAGTATTGACGGCTTTTTTTCGGTGCGCTCTGAATAAAAGGGAAAATAGAGTGAAGGAACAAAGACAGTGGCTATTTTCCATCGTTAATGCAAATGATGACTATAACAAAAATATATATACAATAAATACGATTTAAAAAGCCTCATTCAGTTTTTCGCGGTGAAAATAAAGTAGTCGAATTCTTTCTTTAAACACGTATGTATTCAACACATATTTAGAAAATTTAGATTTTTGTAATCGTATTTATTGTGTATATATTTTTGTTATAGTCATCATATTCCAATATGACATAACTGGAACAGTTAGAGGGTTTAAGGGGGTGTAGCAGTACGTTAGCCCTCTTTAACTTGCTATAACAAAAACAATCTCCAGTTCGGTTTTACACACCAACAACAAATTATTATTATGATAAAATATTTTACAGAAAAACTAATGTACAATGATGAAATAGTAACAGTTAATAATAATATCTAATGGTTGTTGATGATAATAATTGGTAATCGGCTTCTCTTCAATTGACGAAAGTTGATGAGGAGAAGGAGCGCAGAACGAAATTATAGTAATGCAAATGAAAACACTAAGTTATATTTTATAATGTTAAAAGAATACTGAATATAAACTAAATGTGAGATTTAGTTATAAAATTATAGTAGTATTTCTTCTTCCTTTGTATGATAAAAGAAGAAGAAGACGATTGGA